ATTAGTGCTAGGAATGTGCACCAACCAAGCTAACAATCTGCACGACCAGACCTCCATTCCAAGAGGGTATTTCACCGCAAAGAAGCCCTCTTCCAAGGTAGAAATCTTGTTTGCTTTGCTCTGCCTTTTCAACAGAAAATGGAAAATTCAATTGTAACAAAGTGGCCAAAAGCACCATTTCATACAGATAATATATTTTGGATGTGGGAGCTCCATTTCACATTGCCCAAGCTCTTCACCGTCTCACGCCGAGTAGCTCCTCTCCCCCCACCCAGCAAGCTGGCAGGATACTTGTCCACGTTTCCACGCTGTCCTGGAAGGCAGCAAGCAGCAGCATGGCCAAGGGCACAGCCCGGCACTCAGGGTCATGCAAGGCCAGACTGGTGATGTGTCCTGAAGTGTTTAAAGTTATAGACTATTTAACTAAAGAGTGAATTACTTCATCCGTGTTTAATTTACTGTCTTCAAAAATTCATGCTCCCGGGAAAGGAAAGACCAGTGTGACTTCTTCTTTATCAGTCACTATGTTCAATAAATATTCTCATGTCTCTCTCCGCCTGCAACAAGGCTGACCTGACCCAAGACAGATATCCCACAGAGATCAGGGTAGGGTGGGGTGTCTGCAGAGCACTCTGTAAGTTGGGATCTGGCCAAGAAAACTCTAGGCCCTCTAAATAGAGAGAATTTAACAGAGGGAACTGTTGCATTAGTAATGAGGCAAAGCAGAGAATAGCCCTGCAGGAACCACTTGCATCCCAGGGGCTGAAGGACCATGGCAAGGCCTAGGGTCCAGGGCCTTCAGCTGGGAACTAGACCATGGGGAGAGGGGGTCCTGGTGACAGCTGGGAACATGTCAAGAGGGATGTCCAGTGGGAGCTGGAGGCACAAAGGAGATGCAGTAATTTCCAGAAAAGCCTCCATAGGCAGAGTGAGGGGACATTCTCCCCTTCCATTACTTATGCCAGCCTAGAAGCAGGAAGGCAAGGGATCCTGGCAATGTGGCTTACTCTGTGCAGAGCAGAGCCGGGAAGAGCAGTGTGTGGCTCTGTGCTCATGTCCTCAGATGTTTACCTCCACCTGCATCCACACTCTTTGTCACTGAGATCACTTTCACAAACAAGGCAGCTTTGATTTCCCCACCTCTTGAACCTGGGGCCACATGTGACTTGCTGTAGCCCAAAGATCAAGGCGGAAGAGACAGCACACTAGTCTGAGCCTAGATCTCCAGAGGCCTTGAGTGCTTCCACTGTGGTGCTTGAACTGCTACCATGAGAATCACATGTCTGGTCTGGTCCTCGAGAACCAAGGGGATGATGACGGATGTGGAGCCACGCTTCTCCAGCTCAGCCCACAGTAGAGCGCAGCCCCCAGCTGACCCGCAGATGCGTCAGGGAGCCTATTCACAGATGATAGTAAATCCAGCCAGGAGTGGCCATGTCTACCTTAGATCTGCTGACCCCCAGCCCACCCTACAACAGTAAATGGCTGTGGCGTTAAGCCATGAGGCTGTGGAGTTGTTTTTCGTGCAGCAAGAGGAAACTGATAATGGCAAGATGAAACCAGCAGTTGACCATCACTAACACATCACTTGAATTTAAAACCAGCTGAAACTAAAGAGGGTTTCTAAGACCAAGTCAGACTTTCACCTTAGTTGCCCCAATACATCTTGCTCACCGTATTTGCAAACTGCTCTTTATACCTAATTTATTGAGCCAAGGGATCCAGGTTCCTTGAGGGATGTGACTGCAGTTGTTGATGCAGGGCACAAGCACTTCCCCTCAACCCTGAGTTATGGGGAGGCCACCAGGCCCAGCTGCCTTGGCAGCACCACCAAGATTCCAGGGCTACTCAGGTGAGACACCAGAGCAGAACTCAGAATGATGGATGGGGGCTTTGTGGGGAGGGCAAGGAGTGCAAAAGGCTCTCCAGAGAAAGAAGATGGCAGGATGGACAGGAGAGCTGAGCATTTGGGTCACGATGAATACACGAGCTTGGCTAGAGTCCAGAGTGCCTGTGTATGGGAAACCATAGGAGAAGGTTCCATAGGAGCCATAGAAAGATCCCAACTCATGCACTTGGGATTAAGCAAAAGTCATGTAGCATTACAATTACTCTTTTCTTTCCTAATTTAACATCTTGATTTAGATATAATCCACACACCACAAATTCACCCGTTTAAAGTGCACGATTCAGTGGCTTTTGTGTACTCAGTCTTGGAGCCATTACCAAAGTCAATTTTAGAACATTTTCATCACCCCAACAGGAAACCGCATGTCCATTGGCAATTACCCCAATTGTCCCCTCACCCCCACCCCAGGCACCCACTCATCTACTTTCTGTCTCTAAAGATTTGCCTATTCTGGATGTTTCACATAATCAGAATCAGACAATAAAAGCAAACATCTGTTGAGCACTTCTCCATATACTAGGCACAGCCCTAAGTGTTTGAAGAGTAGTATCTCATTTAATCCTATGAGAGACCTGTCAAGTGGAAACCCATCATACCCATATGCTGGGTGAGAAAACTGAGGGACAAAGAGGTAAAGTGGCTTCTCCAAGTTCACACAGCTAGTAAGTGGTGGAGCCTGAATTTGTTGCGAGGCAATTACTCTTGAAAAATCCCTAAAATTACTAGTTTTCTTGTGTATTAGTTATCTATTGCCATATAACGAGTTATCCCAAGACTTAGTGGTTAAAAACAATAATAATAATTACTATCTGTTTTTTCAGGAGTCAGGGATCTGGGTGTGCTTTGGCTGGCTTAAGGTCTCTCATAACGGTTGCAGCCAAGATGTTGGCAGGGGCTGCAGTCTCATCTGAAGGCTAGGGTCAGAGGGATCTGTTTTATGCTCACTCCCACGATTGTTGTCAGGACTCAATTCCTCACAGGATTTCTGACTGAGGGCCTTGGCTCCTGTCTGGCTATTGGCCAGAGGTGTCCTTGGCTCTTTCCCATGTGGGTCTCTCCACAGGGCTGCTCAAAACAGCAACTGAGATCACACTAGACCAATACCACGATCTCTTTGCAAACTATTCTTGGAGATAAAAGGCCTGTCACTTTTGCCATATTCTAAATTATCAGTAGGCCACTAGATCCAGCCCAAACTCAAGAAGAGGGGATTACATAAGGAAGTGAACCTCAGGAGTCAGGAGTCACTGGGCAGAGCCTAGAGGTGGTTACACCGTGAATAGCAGTTTCACATCATGATGAGATGCTCACTAAGTGAGAGCCAGACATATGGAAGCCAAGTCCTACTGAGTGACAACAGGCTTGTGTGCTTGTCCGTCATGCATTCTGAGCCATATACTCCTTGTCAGGGCATTTAAAATTGTTCTGTCTCTGCTATGAGTATATGGGTATTTTTGCTGAAGGTATATAGTTGAATATGTCTATGATATGATATGACAGTGGCATTACTCTAATTACAGATGGATGGAAAGAAGAAAGAAAGAAAAAGAAAGAAGAAAGAAAGAAAGAAAGAAAGAAAGAAAG